CTGGCGTGGCAGGAGGGAGGGAAAGCAAGTGCCTGGCAGGGGCTCAGAGGGAAGATGCAAATGGGCCTTTCTGGGACTCCGTGCAAACCCCTCTTGCTGCAGCACACATGGCCCCTCTCCTGCCCAGGGCAGCTGGGCTGATCGTGGTGCTGGCAAGCATCTCCCCGGTCTCTGAGCTGCCACAGCAGCACTGGGGGCGTGTGGATCCAAGCAAGAGCATTGCAGAGAAGAGTGCTTGTTCAACCAGCTGCAAAAACACCCACAAGCTGTAGGCTGATTCAGGTCTGAAGAAAGGCTTGTGAGCCCAAAAGCTGGGTTGCCTTCTCCAACTGCTTTAGCTGCTCTCAAAGTTTCTTCACAGCCTTTCCTTTGACCTCTGCTGCAGCTGTGGAGGCGGGCAGGAGCTGGGAATGTCATGGGGAAGCCGGAGCAGGGTGTGGGGGATGTCTCCTGGCAGAACAACCCCTGGGACCCCAGGGATGTGCTACCCCATGGACTTGAGGTGTGTGCATTTGGGCAGCCCTGTAAGCGTGGCATCACCCTAAATGTGCATGCCGCTGGCCGCAATGCAAACATGGCTGTGTCCTTGTGTGCCTGGGGTTGGGCTGCACGTGGTCCCCTCTCCTCGTTCCTCCAGGTGAGGAAAGGCAGGGGGTGTGAAAGTGTTTGTGTTGCCAAAAGAATTAACACCCTGCTGTTGTGCCCTATAAATCTCTCAAGTGTTAGAGGTTGGCTTTATCCACCCGTGTTACAGTTTAATGGTTTCCGTTAGCAATAACCTGGCCCTGTGTTCTGGGGTTATTGATTTAAGGTCTGTTGTGGAGGGTGTGAGAGCTGCAGAAAGGTGTTTTCCTGCCGCCCAGCCGGCGGCAAAGGCGCTGTTGCAAAGAGGAGGCAGGAGAGCGGGAAGCGGTGCACAGCCGGCTCTTTGGAAGTGTGGGTGCTGGCGGGAGCTGTCTGGAGAGGATCAGGGGACAGCGGTGAGGAGCAGCACTTGGAGCACCTCCCTCGCTCAGGCCTGCAGCCGCAGAGCGCAGAGGTGAGCGAAGCTGTCATGGTAGGCAGGGCAGCATGGATGCACCCCCTGAGCTCTAACGCAGGTGGGACATGCCTGCCTTTGGCTCTTGTTGGAGTTGCGAGCGTGGACGGCCGCTGACTCGATGCCTGGCAGCTCTGCATGCCTCCCCCGTGCCAGCCGGACCACCCTGCTGCACTGCAGGCAGCCCAGTTTGGCAGTTTGGACCTGGAGTTCCCAAGGCAGAGCCATGCCTTGGCTCTCCTCTGCACACACAATAGGTAAGTGCTGCTGGTGGCCACGTCGCAGGCCCAGAATAGTCCCCCTCGGCTCACAGGTGCCCTTTGGAAGAGGCTGGGGTGCAGCTCATGCACAGCCTTTGCCCCGCTGGCATCAGTGGTACCTGTGGGGGTTTCCCATGCCAGAGGTGAGGGGCAGAGCTGGGGCTTTGTAGGAACCCCAGCTCCTGGGGGGAGTCTCTTGGAAGCAAATCTGCTTCACCCAAGGCACACAGTGCATGCAGGACAGCCAGCCTTCCTCCTACAAGTCACAGCATCCTTCGGCCTCCTTCGCTGCCTACGTGACTGGCTCTGCCCAGAGCTGCAGCAACCCATGGCTGGGGACTGCACAGGGGGTGTTTTCTGACAGGTAACTAAGTGGAACTGGGGTTTCACTCTATTTCTCTTCAGGGCACTCTCAACCTTTCCCCTTCTGTTCCTGCTGCAGACTCCATTCTCTTGTGGTTGTCCCTAACCCTCCCTGCACCAGACCCTGCCCTCTGCGCCCTTTTGCTGGAACAAACTTCCAAAGGACTGATGCTGATCTCGCACCTTCCTTCTCCCTTTCCCTTCTCATTCCCTCTTGCATTAGTATGTCCTGAACGTGATGTCCAAGCTAGAAAGCAGCCAGAAGGGCATCCAGAGTAGTCCTTTATCGTGGGTAAAACCTGGAAGATGAGGGGCCTGTGCTCCATGCATAAACTAGTGGAAGAGGCAGAGGGCCACCTGGAGAGTCTGACAGCGGCACTCCTGGCACACCTCTGTCCGGGGCCAGGGGCTGCACAGCCCTGGTCCTCATTGCTTTGCAGAGCTCAACATTTCCCCAGCAACAGTAGAGCCACTTATCCTCGGGAAAGGTTATTCTGGGACCCTGGGGATGGATGCTGCCAGGTGCTGAGCACCCACATTGCCATGAGGTGAGTGTGCTTTTCCACACTTAGGATGTTCACACTTAAAATCCAACTTAAGACGTTCGGCATGCTCATCCTGAAAGCTGACAGGGACCCCCATGGGGAGGGGTGCCAGGCACAAAGCTGGCTATGCAATGCTTCTTGCTGTTTGCACCCGTTCCCTTCCTTGGGACCACCAGCACTTGAGATTCAGGCTGAGTCCAGGCATCCAAGAGCTCAGAGTCCTGACCCAAAGCAGAGGCTGCTGCTGTGTCCTGGCTGTGCCTCCCCAGCCAGGGCTCCCTGCACTGGGAGCCTCACAGGGGCACCTAGCTTCAGAGTACCTGCAGAGAGGGGCTGTGGGAGTTCGGTGCTGGGATCACTGGAAAGGTGGGCTCGGAGGAGCCCCTGCAAGCTGGGAGAGACGCTCATCCCCCTATGGCACACAGAGCCAGCTGGTTTGGGGCTCCCTCACTCTCACACCTTCTCTGCTCTCTTATACATCCCCCACCCCAAATCCCTGCCTGCCCACAAGCAAGCCCTGGAGGCCAGCTAGTGGTTGTGCACGCTTTAAATCTGTGCTTGTACAGCTGAGAGCCTGGGTTAATTCCCACGTTCCCTCTTACAGCTGTCTTTGCAGTCGTCGTGTGTACTTGTGTTCACATTGGGGTTCTCCAGGGTCATCCCACAGTCAAGTGTCCTGCGGTTGTGAGCAAAGATGCAATGAATGTTCTGCTGGTGCCTCTAAACTGGACACCTGCTCCACTCGCCCCACAAGCCAGGCATTGCAAGTGCTTCCTGACTCCTCTTGGCAAAAAAGACGCAGCTGTAACATGCCATGGGAAGTAAGCAGGGGAGATTAAGGGACAACCAGGTCTGCAGCCTGGCTATGGCAGGGAGTTTGTGGAAAAAAATTACATAGGATCTAGAAAATAGATGTGAACTTGGAGAAGTGTGGGGAAAGAAAAAAAAAAAACAAAGCAAAACAAACAAAAAAACCCCAACCCCAAAACCACAGAAAAAAATGCAACCACAATTTTTCTATCAGTCCAGGAAAATTCCCTCCTGACCCTAATCTGGCAATAGCGTTAAGCCTACTGTGTGAGCAGACCTCTGGGACTGTAATGCTGGGAGCACCAATGCATGAGGCCCAGAGCTTGTCTTTAGCGCCCCGGAAGAAGGAAGATCTCGGTACATTTAGAAGCAAATTAAGGGGGAAATTGTTTATTCTTCATCTTCACAGTGACCAGCAGGAACCTGGAAGCCTGGGGTTGAAGCAGCCTCCTCCAAACAACCTTAGTGCTGCTGACTCCTTGGCTGGCCAGGAGCTGTGTCCCAGGCTGAACTGCCCATCTCCAGGGCTCCTCCATTTAGAAGTTTGTGGAGGGAGTTTTATCAAACTGTAAGTTAAATTGATCTGGGTTTCTCTGCCCCATTACCCTTCTTGGAAGGGTGGTCCAGAACTTCACTCCTGGCAGGGCGAGAAACTCTCCAATTCACCATCTAAACTTATTCATTATTTTGTGCCATTATTGCATGTCTTAAAGATTTTCTTAACATTTTCTTATTTATGATTTTCTTTCAGTGGTTCTTCAGAAATACATTTGTCCCCTCTCAGCCTCTGTCTGGCCAGAACAAGCCAAACTCTTCTCGTAGATCTTCATCAGCTGGTGCTTGTTTGTCTTGGTATCCAAACAGTTTTTCTCTGCGCA